TCACGGGTCGTGGCATCATCTGTTTTCGGATGATCCGCCGTGAAAGACCTTCTGTTTCGAATTTGCCAAGGATTCTCAATCTCGTGCGATCTGAGTAACATGTTTGATAGCGATCATTCTTCTTGATCATCATGCTGACACGAAAGCAGGTTATGGAAGGTGGGGGGGTGTGGGCACCTATGGCTGTAAGACCGCGCTGTACTTACTAGGCTTCGTCACCGACAGATCATGTTTCCTAAAGTGGCTATGTAGTCGGAGTTCTCTGCAGGCTGCGCGGGGCATTGTCAAGGTGTGCAAGTCAACGCGTCCTTTTCTGCGGTGGCTAAATTACTGTTCGAAGCCTGCACGCAACCCACATCGAACTGAAACGGTTTCAAATACCGGCAAGTTGTGCATTCAACCAGCTGACACGATAACCCCCGGTCACCGTTACCGTATCGATAGCAATCTGGAGACGCTCATTGACACGTGCAGATATTGTAACGTTGCATGCACTGGTGAGCTGGTACATATAACTCCTGAGCTCAGGTCCAGTACTTCTTGAACGCCGCGATCTGAAGTAAAAGACTTAATTCCCGAGTCCCCGATCATGTCGCAAACCTCGCCTCTTGTGCAATCTATTCAGTTACATTTGTCATGTGTACATAGTCTTAAGTGTTCTTGGCACTTGGCACGTCATCGTTCTCCTTCTGGCATGATAAAAAAGTGACTTGCAGGAAAGGGTCCCGGTCATGCCTTGAGGCACGGTAACTATCATAACTCCAACTCGGAACTCAGGCCCGAGACAATGAATACAAACCTTGAGACACAAAGGGCAAAGACCCCTAAGGAACAAACTATAACAAATAAGCGGAGCACAGCTTCTCGCAGCACCTGTTGTCATTCCTGAACTTAGTTTTATCGCTTCTTCGATATCTTGGGAAAGCTTCCAGTGGCAAATATCGTTGAAACCGTCGATGACTGGACAGAGAGTCCAAGCTCAAGCCGTGAGCTCGCCCAAGTGAGGTGTGCGACTATCCAGTGCGACCCCCATGATCGGCATTGATAGGTGCGAAGCTTTTAACATACAGCCCTAAGACTTGTTAGACTGCCCCTTTTAGCGACCGTCCCCCGGAGACCATGCCGCACGCTGAACTCTAATCATACGCCAAGCATACAGACTAGAGTGCTCACTAATCAAGGGCAATCATGTAGACGCGCAATCACGTTGCCATGTACGTATCTTTCTGAGATGTCGATGAGTCCTCAGAACTACGCAAGCAGCATCGTCTTGCAGGTATTATTTCGTAACGACCCCGTGCGCGTGCCTTGTAGAGGAATACACGACTGAACTCGAAAAACCAATTTTGATAAGGCAGATTCCGCCAGTGAGAAACATAGAAGAGGAGAAGCCATCAAAGAAGTCTTGATGACCTGAGGTATCGACACTCGGGTTAGAGGAGTCCTCGGAGTAGACGTACGGCCTTTTACCAGTCCCCGATAATCTGTTCGCCAACGTAGATATCCAGGCATCGGCGACATCCGCTGAGGGATCTGACGTGTACGGAAGAAAGATGATACTTGCCGACGATGTTGAGAGCATAACGACAGGGTTGCATGAGTCAGAGGTTTCCTGGGCGATGAGTCATACGAGGCTGAAACATGATTACGATGGCCCTTGCGTGATTTGGCTGGGACTGGACAATTGGAGCTATCGGAGGCCTGAGAAAGCAGCCCTGCATAGAGGAAGGGAGGACACTCGCAAGGGTCGTTCTAATCAATTTGATGAGATAAGGGGCGTCGTACAGAGCCACACACAGATCGTTTCGATATCGTTTGCCGGTATTAAGCCGAGGATGTAAATACGCAGCATAACCAGTTGGCTGGACTGAGCATCAACGACGAGCAAAAGGGGCATCTGCACTCAAAATAAGATGGATCCGGCATTCGTAGAAGATCCGTCCAATTCGTAGCCTCGAAAGTCCATGGAACATCCAGCACATAACTCCGAACGCACGAGAAAGAGCGAGAACGTCGAACGAGCACCAACAGGAGGGATGGCTGAGGACCAATTCAGTAACTGAGCCAAATATACACTTGCGCGAAGAAAGAAGCCAGGTGGTCGGGTGCCTGGGAGCTACTTATCCCGTCCAAGGTCGAAACAACAGCAGCGGTAACCAGCGTTTGTCGTTTCACGAATGAGCCGAGCTGACGGTGTTCGTGTTTGCATCTCAGGACCATCCAACACATCCTCGGCACTTGTCGTTCCGTCGAAAACTGAGTGCTGAGCCGAGCCGACTAGAGGCATCCAGCACATAGATCCGCATACACGCATGTTGGAAGTCGAACTTCTGAACAAGGAGTCGAGCGCCGACAGAAAGGCCAACTCCCAATCCAGATGCGCACTGGCACTATTGGAAATATATCAGGTATGGGCACCAGAGCAGACAAATTGGAACATGAAACAAAACGTGCGCTTTCCATATCCATTTCTATCCTCTGCGGAAGGAACCCCGCGAAGAAAGAAGAGGCAAGAGTCGTTGAGTGGGAAACCCCTGCACTTCGATGCGAGGGCAGGGGACGGAGGTGACCGGATGTAGGTTGAACGATGTTCTCTCGTCGAGGTAAGGAAAAAGGCACCATAGCAGCGACTCGGGCTCGTGCCTACTCTTCAGTTAAATTAGAAAACCCGTTCGACGCAGGCTCGAGTTCCAGGGCATACTTTTGGACGTGAAAGCACGAATGGTTTTTGACGGAGCACCAACTGGAGGGAACCTAAATGTGATGATTGAGCCAAAAATGCCCTTGGTGCCAGAGTTGAATTGAAAGAAGCAAGGCAGCCGGGTGAGAAAACCTTGCCTTCCTCAGTCCACGCATTGGTCTGCCTACGGGAGACCAACGACACCGTGGACGGTAAAATCTAACGACAACCCTCGGTAGTTTTCATTTGTCGGGTCGGCACGAGGTCCTGAAAGTACAAAGTCGACATACACAGAGCACCCATCGGCGGCTCGTCTGATTTCACCTATTGAATCGGCACAAGGTTCCAAGAGGACGAAGCCAGGTAGAGAGCACCTTGTGGAGCTCGTTTGTATTTGCCGTTCCCGAGGCGTCAAGCTTATCTGGCGCCAATCAGTGTCGACAACCTTGAAACAGGTTTGCGCTGGACCTTCGTCAGCGAGAATAGATATCCTAGTTCGGCTCCACACTCCGGATGTTGATGTGGCACGAAGGGCGGTCGGGGTACCTTGGTAACTCCCACATAGGGATGATTACCGCGGCGCAGCGTGGATATTAACGCAAGGACAAATAGATAGACAGAGAACGGGACAGGACGGGAAGATGACGATTACCAGGTGACCCTCGATCTCCTATTCTATCCATCGATCAACGTGTTTCAAGACAACGCCATGGGCCTCCGAGCTAGTGTCAGTGGCACAGAGCTCAACCACTCTCTGCATACTGGATCCCGCCATCGAGTGGTGGTCATGGTCACGGAGCGGATGAAAAAATCTAAAAAAAACATCTCCACACTCGCACTGCATGATGTACATGCGGAACCTCCCGGACGGAACTTGCGAAAAAAAAAAGCCAAGCGGTCGGGGCGGCACATACGATGCCGATGACGACTCGGATGACGCTCAATCGGTGCTGTGAACATGGAATGTGGCACCTCGAGCTCGATCCAGGTGCGCCTAGCCAAGGAACATAACAGAATATAGGAGATATCCTGCTACGCGAAGAATAAAACCCCCCGTTTCCAAGACCCTGTGGATGATACGCGAAAAACACCCCTTGCATGCGAAGAAGAACCCCCGACCTGGTACGCGACGCTGCCAGTGGTATGCGAACGGAACCCCTTGGACGCGAGAAGAAAAAAATATGAGTCGAGTCGTGCCTCGTTGCCAACTGCGAAGGCAGCAAACGGATCAGATATCGGCGTTCGTGCGCAGATTGGAGTCTCGTAGAGCACTAGACCTAGGGACCCTTGAAAGCTTGACGACTTGTCGGTTGCCTGCTATGTATTTTGGATGCGCCAAGATGTCTTGAGTGATAGTCCAAGCTATGTTAATTGATAGCAGAGGATGATCGGTATCAGCAATATGTCTGTATATATGATAATGGAGGATGGGTCCTCGGATGCCTTCGTAATAGATGGACTTGGCCTGACTTGGCGTGGCAGTAGTTTGCCACTATTGCTAGCGATGTCAGGGCGTGGTAGCCCGCGACCGTATCGGTCAAAAAGACTCTGAATTGATAGCGGGAAAGATGGTGGCACCGACGGTCGATATTCACGATGGGCATGGGTGTGATGAGTGTGACGATGGTGCCAACGTTGAAGAGAAAGGTTGGTGAATCCTCGGAAATGCACACTTGAGGTGATGCAGTTCGATATTTGTAAGATGACTCGGATAAGGTTAATGAAATTTGTAGTCGGAGCTATTCCGAAGGTAAGAGTGAAAATTAGCGATGTTATCGCGGACTGGAGAGTCGACAAGGAGGTACGTATAGTTTGTAATCGGATTGGGACTCCCCCTATTGCAGTTGGCCGATGAGTTCGTAAGCTCGCGACGGTTTTCCATCAGATGTTTTCCGTACCAAAAAGGAGAACTTGGCGTGAACCTGGGGAGGATTAGCGATATGACATCGCTTGGAAACAAGAATTCGAAGGATTTGATTGACAGTACAAGGACAGAGTTAGTTAGATGGTGAAAGTAAGACGACAAGAGACAAGTCTGGACAGCCAAGTGGATGAACAGCCAAGATGAAGAAAAGGTACGGAAGAGAGAGAGGGTGCCAAGGATGTGTAATCATCATGGGGATTGTTTACAAAGACAGACAGGTCCGACGTGAGTATAGGCACGATGTAGTACAATGTTTGATGACAAACGTTGCCAGCGTGAGGAATATTATTTTAAGAGGAAGTCGATAAGAAAAAACGGAAGCAAGTTTTAAATTTCATAATAAGATCCAATTCAAATCTCGATCGATTTGGTCCCCCGGAAACCCTTTTTGAATCATAAAGTGATTCATTTAAGAGTCCAGGATGAGCGAGGCTTGTTGCATTTTTTCACCCAACAATGATTCGTACTAACAGCATTTTATTGAATTCACCAACGCAGTCACCAAGACTTTCCCCTACCGCAACCTATTCCATCTCTTCCAGTAGTTGCTCATCCTCTGACTTGAACCTACAAATGCAACGTCGTATCAGATTCGCACCTTTACCCAATGAACAGATCACAACAACTCCTCCAGCAGCAGTCGATTCAAAACCAAAACCAAAACCAAAATCTTCCTTCTTCCGTAGCATTTTCAAACGTTCCCCTCCACCAGAAGACGTAACAATCCTTCGTCGCTCCCGCTCTCCACAACCCCATGACTTCGGTTCTCCTCTCACCCGTGCCAATTCAACTCCAATTCGTCAACCAAAACGTTCATCATCATCATCATCAGATTCAAAACCACGCTCTTCAGCAAACTCACTCGGTTCAGGCGGCGGCCGTCATGCAATGCCAATGCCTTCAACTCGTTTCACTACCCCATCTCTACCCACAAAATCTGCCAGGCGTATGCTTAATGGTCGCGTCTACGGATCAAAACGTCAGCCTCCAGCGAACCCTTTTGCAAATGTACGTGACGAGCCAGAATTCGTAGAATGGGGTTATGGCGGCATGGGAAGCGTGACCGGCAGTAGCGACTCAAAATATTCCGTTCTCGCAAAAGGCGCGCCAGCTCTACTTTCCCATACTCAAGCACGAGTTACCAAAACACCGGTGGAAAGGAACGATGGCGTGGGTGTACCAGCTCCAGATGATGAGGATGATGGGAGTGGCATGGGTTGGGTAAAGAAAAGGAAACTCGAAAGAGAACGTCTTGCCAGGGAGAAACAGGCGGCGGAGCTCATTTCTGCCCTCGATACAGATTCAAGGCGAACAAGCACAGATAGATCTTCCACCATGGACAGCACAAGTACTCGTCTCTCCACTCTCGCTGCTTCTTCAGCTCCTACAACTCCTCTTAGCACCACCGATACTCTCCCACCCCAAGATTATATCTTGCAGGCTGTGAGATTGAGTCCTCACCTCAAACACACCTCCCCCGTGGTCAACACATCACTCTCCTTCACACACCCTCCCATGAATCGCCCAAGCACAGCCAGCGAGAGTACCAAATATCATCGCCAGGCTCTAAGAGAGGACGACTCGGACGAGAGCGAGGTCGACCGCGCAGAGGTACGTCTCCTACCTTTCCCTTGTTCTACCCATCTCACCTTCTAATAGGATCGTCGAAAGACGTCTCTGGGCGCTGGAGTCGAAAAGATAAGCAGGCACAAACAAGCCGTTCATTAACGTCCCATCTTTACAGCACCCGCGCCCCGCCCTGACTTCTCCTCCAATATACTTCGCTGTCCATATCCCTTTGCTCTGTTGTTCTTCTTGTGCATATCGTCCATTCGCCCTATCCTCGCCTTCACATCATCGCTCAATAGCCTCTTACGCCCCTGTATCTTACCCATCACAGCCCGCTCAATTACTGCTATCTTATGCTTGGGTATATCGCTCATATTTCTTTATCACACATCCCTCCCGGATCGTGCATAGCATCATGGCGCATACCGCTGTCCCCACTACACCGGCGCCATCTCTTCGACGTGGGATGATGTTTTCTTGGAACGCGGGCTTCCTCGTGGTCTGGAGATTGATTAATGGTTGTCTACGGTACTTCGTCTCCATATTTATCCGCAGCCTGTACTGAAAATAGTTCATCCTCGTAATAGTGCCTTGCATCTAGCGTCCATTTAATCCTCGACTGCTAAATCCATTCTTGATATAGCGCCTTTGTCACCATTCATATCCGTTCTTGTTCGTGTCCGACGTGCAAGGTTGGCGTTAGGCGGAATCATAACCAGAACCCGGTGTTATCAGTTTCATTTATCCCTGCATTACACCACTCCACTAGCACCTTGACTTCTTCATGCTTGCCGTGTTTCGTGGACATCCCCGGGCACTATCATTATCTCCATCAAGTCAAGCGGGGATTTGCTTTGTCCATCAAGTTGGCAATCTTTGTCTATCTCCATCTCCATCTTTGTCAACTGGGGCAAGGGTTCGGTTTCGGCTTTATGTTTCGAGCCCGGATTAGCCATGATACCGTCAGCGATGACTTTTTTCGTGTCCCCTGCATTGCAAACTCACCCCTCCATCTCCATGTCCCGATCAACTTCGACATCTCCTTTTATCCTCAATCGCCACTCGTCCATCATGTATCTTTCTACCTCTAACTTGTATCCAACAACGATCTTATTGCCTGATTCACACGGGTGCCGGTTCGTACTATTTGACATTGCATAGATCCCAAAGCTTATCGCGCTCATCTTTGACAGTGCACTTGCATCGCCCCGTCTCGTCTCCGTACTGCAGTGCTGAGAGGAGCTATAATCGCCTGCTCTCCCTTCCGCCTCATTTCACCTCGTCGTGCTTTGTTTCTTCTCTTCTTTTCTTTTCCAAACGCTATATCTCATCTTGACTTTTTTTATTTCATTCCATCATGGACTGTATGTCGCAATGCATTAGTTTATACCCTTCAGCAGTGTAGCTTCGTATCGTCTTTCTTTTGTCTGTTTTTTCTTCTCGTCGTTTCTTTTTTGATGCTGGGTTATTGGTTTTTTTTGATGTAGATGCTCGGGCAGAGTCTTGGGCCAGCCAGTCTGGCAATGGGGTGGGGTGGCGATGTTATAGCATAGAATCCATCACGACGATTAGGTTGCATATTGGTCACATAACATATACGCATGCATCACGTTTCGTGCTACCCCGCAGTGCGGGAGGAGATACCGAGCTCAAAAGATGTCCCTCCAAGTCTGTATCGATGCATTGTAAGGTTTAAATTTGGATGTCGTAAGGTTGAGTTACCTTCTATGATCTGATACAATTGATCGGATCTCAGGCAGGCTGACGCGAAAAGAAGAGCGCCCATATGTACATACGCATGGCATTGTCATGTCAATATGGCCTGGCCTCTAATATTATCTGCATGCAGGGTACAAAGACATCGAACTCGACTCCGATACAAGGCGTGTATTTTCGAGTCGTACTTGATCTATATTAATGATGTCGAGAACAAGAACTTGACGCGAGTCTAATATCATGCGTGCTGACCTGAAACAACTTTTGAACTCATGCGCTTTGATACATGTGATATCTATAACTCGAGAAGTAGAAGGTTTCTTACAATAGCTCTGGACGCGAAAAGAAGCGAGTCCGAGTCCGATATTATCTAGGGTAGAGGGAGCACCTGAATTCAACTTGAAACATCACTACAAAACATACAAGTGTACAATCCATCAGAACGCGCGTCGCGTAAGTTCAAGTAGGGTCGAGAGCGAGGAGCCGCGGTATGGCAATTGATGACGATGGCGTCTGAGACGTTTGAAAAATTAAAATAAAATCATTCTATATCCGACGTGGTGATAATTTTGGTGGACATTCGAACACTAGCCTTGACAATGACGTGACGTTTTATCAGTTGTTTATTCTTCGTTTCTTCGTCTAGTGCTGCAACTGGAGGTCTGGTAGCTGAGTTGAGAGGAGATTAGAGGGAGTTAAATTCCTAGATGGGTAAGGAATGTAAGTCGTCACCGACTGTCAGTGCTTAGTCGGAAGGCGCACGAGATAGCACATTGATGGTGTAGATCGCATGCGCGGTAACGTTACTGAATCATGATACATGAACTGGTAACGTGACATGGTCAGCCATTGCTGTAAAGTCGAGCCGCTAGCGGAGTTAAGGAGTTACAGGTTGACGGGCGTGTTAACGGAAGAGTCGTCGACTTCGGCTCTCGAGGCCCTCGGGGCGTGTGCTAAAGATAGGTGCTGGTCGTGCGCTAAGTATACTAATCGCGAGGCGTTAGGACCCTGAAGTTTGGTTGTCAAGAGGAGAGGGCGTGCACCTCGACCAAGAGGTGATTTGGTGACATGACATGGTCAGAAATTCATTCGGCCAGGGACAAGCTCGGAAATTTGCAGACGAATAAGTGCAAAGTGAGTGGCCAAAGTCACCATAGACGTGAGGGCAGGCAACGTCCAATCCAGAAGCACGAGATAGCAGATTTAGCTGCGTCGGTCGCATGCCAGGTAAAAATTTCGAAGAATTCGAGACGTGTGCATACATGATGGCAGGGATCAAAAGCCCCTGTCAACATATGTTGACTCTTGAGCAAATATGGGTCCAGTCCAGAAGCTTACGAGATAGTAGTTCTAGCTTGTGTTGGTCGTGTGCCAGGTAATTGCGCATAGGACCCCGGGTCTGGCTCTCGGATCATTGCCTCACAGGCAGCGAACCATTTCGATCCTAGAGGGATTTTTGCCCGACGAGAGCCTGAAGTAACGTAGCCCGACATATCCGCTCCATCCGATCTCATGCGCCTATCTGAGCCCCTCAGCGTTAGATTGATGATGTGAGTCTATCGTGGCCGGCGGGATTTTAGCCATTTGATGTAGTTTAATTTTTGCGTGGGGTTTGGACGAGGCGGAGGAGCGCTGAGTGATTTTGGCCATTAAAAAATTGGTGGAACCGGTGAGGAATATGCCAGGTGGAGTTGCGATGTGGTGCGGATTTTTTTCCATTTGTGGGTTAGGTTTCGGAAGCTATGTGGTAACGTTCCGGCGGCTGAACTTCCGGAGGGACGGTGTTCGTATCGCTGGCGCGGCGGGAAACGTACACCGCCTGAACTGACATCCGGTCACGATAAGCAGGCAATACGCCGTCATATGATGGTGAAATTTGGAAAAACCATTATGGAGCGCAAGGTTACATACTCACAGGATGGTCGCAACACATCAAAAAAACTTGACCGTTCCGCAGCACTTTGACAGTATTGCTGTGGAATGCCGTACATCCTGTTCATCTAAAGAACAGAAGTATCCCACCAACGCTGCCTTCGATTTGTGGGATTCTCAGGGAATTAGGCACACAGCCTGCCGCTGTCAGAATCTTCGCTGGTTAAGGGGATGAGATCGCTTGATATGCAGGATGAGCTCAGGAGAATCATTAGTGAAAAAAGGCAGATTAATGTCTCGCTTACCTTGGTCTAGATAGACCGTTGTGAAGAGAAGATACTTGAGTTCTGGATCTAGTACATTGAGAGCGTCGGTAAGTGAAAAGATTGGGAATATGAAAGACATGCCGACACTACTGCCGCCACAATGGCAGGCTGACGTGAATCGTATGAGCCGGGGCTGATTGATCAGTGCTATATCAGACAACACAGCAAACACATATTAGGGGCTGATTTGATCCGTGCTTGCGTGAATACACGCGTCTTCATATGTATGAGCAACTGATATCACGAGGCTAGGGACGCATTAATATACAGCAAACGAAATGAAACACGCATATGATAGGCAATCCTATGCAACATGACTCTACACAGGCGAAGGAGGACCTTGGACACTTTGCCATCCGGGGATCCAATTCGAGTAGGCTGAATCCTTTGCGGTGGTTGCGCGCGCATATGCGAACCACGATGGATGATATCGGCCGTATCGTATCGATCGACCAGATAGGCATCTCGTACACCGCTCTTTTACCAAACCGAATATTTGGTAAACCGTTGCGATACCACGTACTCGATAATTTATTATAGTGGCGTTACCTGCACCTAGACTGCAGGTCTTGGCAGTTTCAATGAATGCACGCACGTGCTGGCGCGTCTGACACATGAAGTTAGGCATTCCCCGAACAATCGGATCCGAGGGTGTGTGAATGCTCGCTACCACTCTTGATAGCCTCGTGGGTAATACGCAGTACGCTCGCCGTACCTTTACGTGGAGAGTCGAGGTACCCAGCTATGCCGAAGCGAGTCTGAATAATAATACGCACGACTAGTCAGCTCCTACAAGCATGCGCATCAGACAATATCATGCGATACCTTGTATGCGGAGTATGATGCGCACGTGAATCACAAGAGAACGAGTGACATGAGTCACCCTCGAGGTGTTTCACTAACTCGGAGCTTTAAAGTCTAGATCTTCATGATAAATGTATATGAAGCATTGTTATTAATGTGGTAGCCGAGTGCCACGTAGAGAGCTGGTTGGCATCGGCGGTCTAGTCGATCCGAGTCGGAGCGAGTGAACCTGTGAGTTATAATTTCAGTGTCTGTAATTCTGAGGCAGCAGACGATATGAAGGCAGAGGTTGACATTGCTCACATAACTCGAATCTTCACCATATGACCACATCATCTCTAGTGTCCCCAGTCGACGTTCATCATGCTGCGAGCCAGGCTATGTTTGAATCATCCGATAATATCGTGATCTGGTGTGATTCTCTTGTATTCTCCGCTGCGCTGTTACGTCAGGAATAATGACAGCGAGACGGACCGGCGCGCCTGATGCACTCGTGTAACGAAAACTCTGGCACGGAGAAACAATCTTCTTAGCTTCGTCCACAAGGACAGGCAGCTCGAGGATGTATCGATCTGGTGGGCAGACAAGCATGAATATATGCGGAGTGGCTTTGCGAGTGAGAATGGAATTGGTTGTCCTGCATTGGGAGACCTCTTCCATCACAGGCCAACTAAGCCCCTCTGCCCAGATAACATACGTGAAATGTGTTTCCCGATGTTACGCATGGATCTGTCTGACTTCTGTGACAAGGCATGCGACGCAAGGCAGACGCAGTGAGCAGTTCGCGGAACGAGGAAGACTCGTTGTCGGCCAAGGCATCAAGTTTTGGATCTCATCTTGTTACAGGAATGGTAGCATTGAATGGCGTGCGGGGTAATGTCGACTGAAAGGAAACCCACTGAATTCGGACGGTGTTCTAATCCAGCCCAGGGAAGAAGTGTCTGTCGCATAGCCTTGACACGATCTCCTGCAACAGCCTCTCACATGTGGTTGGACACCGAGTATGTTTGATGGTATGCCAAGTCTTTCTGCAACGAGGTGACCGTGACATGCGCCAACACCTATTGAAGTTTTTCTCGGGTACCGTGTTGTCACCATTGGACGAATGCTCGTAGATCTATGCTCGCGCATCCTTCAACTCCCCGAATCACGAGAAACATCGCAGGAAGATTGCAACTTCACGATATCCTGGACGTCGTGTAGCAGCCCTCCATCACGGGTTGATTGAGTTCAAGAGGTAATATAGGTGTAGGACAAAGCCACTAGAAAGTACTTCTCGGCTCATATCAATTGGAAGGCCCGTCCAATTCGGGTCAAGTCCAGCGCATCCAACTTTGCTGACGTCTTTTCGGATCCCTGCTTCTTCTTTTTGAATACTCGTGTCGCAAATTTCCGATAGTGGTTGCATCAAGGTTGCAGGTATTCCCGCTACCTTTACTGATAAATTATCAGCACGGATACCTGATAATGCATGCATCACTCTGGCCAAGACGCCCCATTTTGACAAAACTTGAAAGACGAGCGATCTACCTCGTCGCTCCAGATGATGCCCACTGAGCTCAAGTCGCCCTATTATCCACAACCAGTGACCACATTCATCTCGTGCCCGCTGCTAATGACATGGCGATCTCTGATGGAACACTTGCCAGACAACAAGAAGATGGTGTGAAGATCACATTATATTGTATTTGCGCACTGCCGCTCAGTTTAATATCAAATTCTACATGACATTCGAGAATAAATGTGATCAAAGATCGATCATGCATAATAATCAGGGTGAAAGCATTGGTAAAAGAACTGGTGTGAAATCTCACTTGATTTCTCGGCGGCCCAGGTATAGGGACTATTGAGTCTATGGTAGACATTCCAAAATACCCACAATGACAGTCTTTTGAACGCGTGGCTCAGTAGCATCTGTGGTGAGGACTTGCCAACGTTAACGATCATGTTGCATTAGTACTGGTGTGGTGCAGGATTCCAATGATGATGTACTTGGGAGTGAGAAAACTGAGATCAGTTGGGCGGGAGTAGGCGAAGCTGAAAGTAAAGGTGAATCATGAGCAGAGCACTGGAAGCAAAGCACTCCTCCATGATAGAATTGGTGACAAGTTTGAGATGCCAGAAGAGGGACCTTTGGCCGCATCCGGTGCACGAACAGGTCTTGGGAGTCGACGCGATGAAGGGGTGGTATTGCAGTAAGCCCTTAGCTATATGCATGCATTCGAACGAGTGACATGGTGATGTGCTGGAGTAGCTGCTCGAAACGAAAAAAAACAATGATGTTCATGCGATAAAGCAGGATAGATAGCCAGGAAGCACCAACTGCTTGATTGGATATGGTGAAATACGTTCTGGAAGCTTTGGAGACAGGAATTGGACACATGCTCACGATGTGTGAGGTGCTGGAGGGTATAGGGTCAAGGATGGCGGGTATGACGACAGAGTATATATATTCTTGCTACAACAGTGATGGAGGTGTGGAGGCCTTGTGTCCTGGGCGTCTATATAAACGAGGCAAATTGACGCAGTGAAGCAGCATAAAACGCACAATACACGCACCTCTGCAGCTTAGTGAAAGACACCAACAATCCCTCCAAAGACTACTTCAGCACGCGCCCGACGCCATCAACCTCCAGTAAAATGTCGAAGCTCAAGCTCATTCCAATCACTACACCCCTGCGAAAGTTCAAAGGCCATGAAGAACGCATAATGGCAGTCGCAGTGTTCCTCAATAAACGACGGATGGTTACGGGCTCGATAGACAAGACGCTTCGTCTGTGGGACTTGAAGACAGGTGTTGTGTTGAAGAAGATGGAGGGGCACAGCGGGGAGGTATTGGGATTGGCTGTATCACAAGATGAGCAATTAATAGCAAGTGGTGATTTTAACGGAGAGGTCATTGTCTGGCACGGAGAAACTGGCGAATCACTCACCCAACCCATCAAAGTCCACTCCAGTTGTGTCTCCTCGCTGGACTTTTCTCCTGATGGAACCGTGCTGGTCACTGGTTCAGGCGCGAAACTGTGCTGGAAAAGTCAAATCACGTGCAGTTGTTGGGTCCAGCGTACGGTATTCGCCATTAGTTAGAGACATCGACCATATTATCGAAATTTATAATGTTATCCCAGGCACGAGGAAACGCGCGTCGCATCCTTCAAGGGTCATGACTCATACATTATACAATTGCTCACTCGCATGGATACCCGATGGCGCACACCTTCTTTCAGGCAGCAATGATTTCAATACCCTACGCAAATGGGGTGCATTGACCTGGCAGCAGGTCGGTGATCCATAGTCAGGTCACATTGCCGTTAATCCTGCTGGCACGCTCGTCGCCTCCGCATCTGATGACAATTATGTCCGTCTTTGGCAGCGCTCAGATCGACAAACCATTGCCATCTTCAAGCACTCATCATCGCCGACATGTATCACTTTCTCCGTAGACGGCAAGCACATCCTCAACGGAGGTGGACATGAGATCATTAATCTCGGAGTGGGTACATCAACAGGGTGTTCATCCAAAGGCACGTTTCCGTCCTTGATATGTAGACTACAGCTCGAGCATGTTTCGTGCAGATCCTAGCTATCACGACAGCCCGCATTGCAATCATAAATGGAGACTTATCTACTGCTGAAGAACTCCTCGCGCAAGAAATAAACACCGGTACGGACGACCATACTTCCTATGTCCGTCGCTCGTTTGTAATGTCCCGAAAACACGACTGGGACCACACCCTTCAGGATGCAATTAACGTGAGATGAAATGACCGATCATGGCCCCCTTACAAAAGGCTAACTCAATAGTGACTTAGTCCATTAGCATCCAGCCCTCATTGACAGGCCATCTTTCCAGGGAAATCGCCCTCTGCGGAAAAGGCCATGTCCGGGATGCGAGGGCAGCATTTGATGTCGCACCCATGTACACGAACCAGGATCAAGAAACCATTCATTTTCTTGCGATGACGTCTATGCTTTTGTGGCCCATGTTAACTTCGGCAATGCATAGGTTACCGAACTCAATCCTTCTTCTCACGTCGGATACCAGTCGACATACACAGCGCTGCATGCTGCGCAACGTTACGACGAAGCCGTTAAGGCCTTCACAATCATGTTGTCCAAGTTGGATAGTGCTCCCGAAGCACAGATACGAAGTAGGTCCTGGGACATTCATTCATTAATTCGAGGATGCTTACCTTGTCCTGCAGACCTGCGTCAGCAGTATGTCTCTCCATCCGAGGCAGAAGATACAATTCGAAAAGCTGTTTGGATTGAACTCGAAAACGCCCCGCTTCGTCTACTTAACACTTCCACGGGTCTCTTGTGCAACCGAGCAGCACAGATAAACTCCTTCAAAATGAGTTCAGAGTACAAGGAGCTTCTTTCATCTACAACGAAGCACTCAGACCTCCAAACGAACCGCATTAAAGACGTGGTGGCAACGTACTTCCGCTGCGTCCTGCTATCGCACAGCTGGGAAGAGACGGAGGTGCTACTGCACGACATTCAGGACAAAGTCGTGTACGAGTTGAATGGACTTGGTGGCATCGCGAAACTGCAGTCATTCTGCAAAATCGTTCGTGATGCTGGGTATAACTGGGCCTGGATGGACACATGCTGCATCGACAAGAATAGCAATCCCGAGGTCCAAGAATCAATCAACTCCATGTTCGTATGGTATCGTCACTCAGCGCTTACCATCGTCTACCTATGTGATGTCCCTCCTTCATCCCAGCCCGGTGCACTGGCGCAGAGTGTTTGGAACGAGAGAGCATGGACCTTTCAAGAATTGGTCGCTCCGAAAGTCGTAATCTTTTATCAGAAGGACTGGTCATTATATCTCAACGATCGCTCTCCCAACCACAAAGAGTCTCCTGCAATCATGAAGGAGTTGGAGGGTGCGACGGGCATAGATGCACGGGCCCTAACTTCCGTCCAGGGATGAGTGACGCTCGACAGAGACTTCAATGGGCATCGTCACGCATCACTACATTGCAAGAAGACATCGCGTACTCATTGTTTGGTATCTTCGATGTCCACTTACCTGTGATGTACCGTGAGAACAAACAGAACGCGCTCGGGAGACTCCTGCAGGAGATCGTGGCTCGGTCGGGCGACATCACTGTCCTCGATTGGGTCGGACAAGCGTCTGAGTTCAATAGCTGTCTTCCAGCCTATATTACCTCTTATACTACTCCTCCTCTCACCCTTCCATCTTTGTCCGAAGATCAGATTCAGACAACTATATCTTCGCTGCGAAAAAATCCTATGGCTCTGGATTTGGCTTCGAAACTTCACGACGCGCTTGATTACATGAGCGCTGCTCGTTTCGTGAGCTACAGGCTGCATCTGCCTTGCATAACATTCCGTGTCACAGAAGTCAGTTTGAGCTACGGTCCATCGGAGACTCAATATCAAGTCAAGGCAGACGGGCTTCATGACCTGCTGATCACCACCAATGAGCCGCTTGTTCAGTCCTCGCAGACAAGGCCCCCTCATCAAACCTTCGTGCTTGTTCGTCCCTGGGATCGGTCTCTCATCGAGCTATCAGACTTTGCAGATTTGCTAGACGATACGGAAAGCGAGGAAGACTATTGGACGCCACCTCCTTCTCCGTCAGACGATTCATCTAGCCGTTCTCTTGTGGAACAAGTGGATGGTTCAAAATCGCGAGCATTGCGATTGCTTGTTCACCTTGGGCAGCCTTTCCGCGCATTTTTGCTAGCGCGGCAGCGCCGTGGAGAATACAAGAGGGTCGCGTCGGATCGTGATATCATCGCACAAGTCAAAGATGTGGCTTCTGTTCGATACCTTATGGGCATCAGAATGATGGAAATTTCGTAGATGCATGTTTTTTTCCCTAAAGATTAGAGATCTGATCGGTTTTCAATGGTACTTCGTATACGGGATACTAGTACACGCATGTGTTCTGGACCATAGTTTCTTCCAATGCACTATCTGCACTTCTCTCATTACATGAACTGATCAGTCAGCCAATTTGGTTCACCACACGGGCACGTGCTGGGGTTCAATTTATGCTTCAAGCTAAGTCAAGTCTCGTCACTTGCCTTATGTATCACCGGTCACCCTTCGTCTGCGGCACCACTACTAATCAGCACCTGGAACGAATTCGAACTTCACGCTGAAGATTCCCAGGAGACCATGCGAGTTATCGCTAGCCCTAACCTTGCCGCTGTACGAGATAGTAGCGACTGCAGTCGCTACCGTAGCCGCCTATACACATCACAGCATTAATCTCTCTCATCTAAGACACTCGATTTATTGCCCTTTTTATGTAAGGCTGCAATCAGGTCACCACACGCGTGTCCCTTGACGGTTCTGGCATTAACGTCATGCACTCCTGCACCGTTGTACTAAGTACACGTACAGTACCAAACACCTTCCCCCGCTTGATTGGAACGTGACCCTTAAACGTTACAGTGCCTCGCAGAGGAGTGAGTAATGACAACATCTTACGGGGATATCCTCAATTAGAGACCATCGGGCCTCTGTGCTTCCGAAAAATTTTTAGGGTCACCGGCAGTTGCAGGCAAGTTGCGCTGTGGACGGGCCCACAGGGTTGAATTTTGGCTTGATTAAAGGCCATAGAAATTTCGGTCTGTGCCACCACATAAACATACATTCGGACTCACTACATTAGTAGGTACCGATTGGGCTGTTCCGGACCTGAGGAATTGAAATCGGACCTCATCTAAATCAACAAATCGCTTAGCAGCCGAAAGACGAGACTTCTGTTACTCGAGTTTATCGATGGAGTCACGCCCCCATTGCACAACACGAGGCTAAGTCCCTAACTAAACCCTGCCTCTATTGCGCTCCTCGTGTTTTAGATGTGAGATTGAGTTGCGAATTCTGGTTTCGTACTTGGGGATTTACTACTACAGGAGTAAATAAACGTGTGTGTAAGACATTGATACTGGTATGTTACATCGAATCATAAATCTGGAGAAGCACTAACTGTAGGAGTGACAGCGAATAAACACCGCAAGACGAGTTAAAGTAATCATCATCTGGGCAGGCCCTAGCGTCCGTCTATATTGAAAGACCACCATCTACGCACCGCTGACCCGAGCAATTCTTCTTATGATTGCTAAGAGTGTCCCTGCGCGAGAACTTGCTGCCGCAGTCGCAGAAGTATGCAATCCCCATGTGCATTTCTTCCACATGCTCGCAAAGGCTCCCAATGTTGAACTCCCGACCACAATGGTTCCATCTGCACTCGGCGCGCGCGCTCTCTTTTCCGCGAATTTCGTGAGTTTCACGTAGGTGATTATGCAGATCGGTACCACGAATCAAGTCGTCGCAGTGTAACCCGTGCGGATAACCCCACATGCACAGGAATAACTCTTCGGGAGAATGGGCAACCTGAAGGTGCTAATTAGATGCAAGTGATCATAATATTGACAATTTACACCTACAGGTCCTGGCGTAGTGGAGGAATCAGACAACCCGTTGCTAGAGCGGCTATAAAAATGGTTCGACATGGTATGATCGAGAGAACTGTGTGCTTTATGCAGCTTGAATACCTGAGTGAGCAGTGACCTAGCAAGATGCAATGGGCATCAACAATGACAATGTTCTTATACTCTTGCCTCCCCAAACTACCTAATAAAAGATGAGTATACAGCAATCACGCTGTTGGCAATTAATCGAGAACCTCCTCGAGCGGTTACATTTGAGCTTCACGGAGATGATCAGGCCAATCGGCCACAGGGGCTACTTTCCCAGCCTGCCAAGTTTCACACAGCCCATCTATTGACACATCGGCAAAATTCTAAAATAAGCGCTCGAACTTTAATTTATATCTCGACGACGACGTGAAAGATAGCGAGAGTACTGCGACACGGTGTAGGAGGCAAAATAATATGTAGTACCACATCTATATCATCAATACGACTGTTTCTTCAGTCTATGAAGCGACACAACAAAGCGATGTTTCGCTCCAGGTTAGCGCGCGCCTAGCAGCACAAAGCGCTGAGTTCAGATTTCATGTAGGATGTGCATGCTAACCAAATACTGATACTGTGTGTCTGATAGAATCCTTCATCGGGCTGAAGGTAATGCAGACATTCGATGAGCAGAGGGGACTGATAAGATCTCAGCACGTTTCAGCTCAACCAGCGCCCTCAGATGCTGAATGAATGCAATAAAACAAAATTAATGGCGACGGATTTGAAACCGGCACGGGGGTCTAATAACAGATCTTTTGAATCTGTGGTTATGCGCCCTTGGCTATGACTGGTTTGGAAGGACCTTCGAGGGAACTATCATGAGTGAATGTGTAAAGGTGTGACAAAAAGAAAAAAAATTGCCATCGAAGTTTCAAAATAGCAAGTTTCAAACTTGCACCATCAATGCAATAGACAGATTTCGAGTCTGGTGCACTAACCCCTTGGCTAAGGCTAGTCCGGATGAACAACCACGAAAATATTGGTGAGTGAATGTGTAGGTGTGATCATAGACAAAAACCATTTGAGGCAGGTTTCAAACCTCCAACATTCGAGAGAAACAAATTTTGAATTTGTTATTGCGCCCACATGGCTATGACTACTGAAGATGGATCTTTAAGGGACTATCTATGGGTGACCGTTGAAGGTGCGCTCACCAAAGTAACTCTTATCAGAAGGTTTTGAAACTCAGAAATCATGGTAACCACTTGGCAGGCTGGAATGATTAAGGGCATTTGTTGAAGGCAACGGACCCACAGGCTCCTCATGAACGTTGGAGGCCTATACCGGAGTGCAAGCGATGGCCACACTGCACGACTCGTCTTGTGATCTTTGTCATTGATGACATATACGCCGAGAACGGCCAGAAAACTCAAGCTTTTCAACAGAAATACGCACGCCTCTAAGCCAAAAAACTCATCAGCCCGGTGGGAACTAGAGAAAAGACGAAACAAGCAGGAGATAAATATAGTGGCGGAACACATGGGGGTCGTGGTCAATTAAATGAGATGTCGATGATGACTGATGTTAAATGTCGGTGTATTGAATACACACGCGATCAATCCAGATAAATAAATAAATCCAGAATCCAGCTTGTCTTATGGTCAAGAAGCGACGGTGTTCTAGTCGCCACTGTGACAGCGGGAAGTACCGCAGATGTCGTGGCTTGCTGCAATGATACTCCGTTGATACGAGTATTTAGACGGTCGAGAGGAGCCGGCAGCTGTCTTCTTTCTCCCGTTATAGTTCTTTTGTATGAAAATGAGTGAATGATAAAGAAGAATTGAGAAACGTACAGGTTTGGTGGTAGTGTAAGGGATGTCGACTATGTATGGCTCTCGCTACTCGATGTCCGATGCATCTCCTGTGCGTAGTATGCCAGAGACGAAGTGCCACCCGAGCCCAGTGGTATGTGATGGAGACCGGGTGTCGTGTTCAGTTACTCGGTTCAGATTGGAGAGGTAGGGATCGAGGAGTGGTTGTCGTAGAAGCCGGTGACGAGTAACTTTCCCGGGACCCGGGTCATCCGTAGAAAAGGCAGCAGATTCCACCTAGGTTACATGGTGGTGGTCTGATAGATTTGTTAACACTGCTGTTGAGGTTCCATAGTCGCGTTGTCTTGTCACAAGGTACGCTTACGAGAATGCGAGATTGAAATTCTGGTGATCAATGTTGAATGCATTGACTTATGTCATTGTGATTCAGGTGGCTGTGTCGAATTTCTTTCTTGATGAGCGCTCTGGCTCAGCGCTTGAGCCACGACGTGCGGTACAACCGACGCAACCCATCTTTACCGGTTTTAGCGCGAGCGCCCGCCCGTTGCAATCATCGTACTATCCAGTGAAACAGCTCACACACCATTGTTCCTTGCATTGGTTGGTCCAAGGATGGTCTCGCCGCTCCCGACATTCCACATTCCGACTGTTCCGTAAAAGGATCCGCTCGTCCCCCACCTGGACCCCAGCAGACAAACCACAATTCAACCTTGGCATGCCCAATCCACTTTTTATGACCTTGCCTTTGTCGATGTCCGAGAATGCAACTGTTTCATCTTCACTCCCCCTTGCTACTTTCTTGCCGTCTCCTCCACTACCTCCGTCCTGACAGGCCTTCCAGACCTGTGTATCGTTCTCCAAGTCCAGTCAGGCGTAAAACGCGGCCATAGACGGTGCTGCCGTGTTCATCTATCTTTTAGTGGGGCGCTCTTGTTAATGTTTCTTGCTTCACGACAAGGGGAAGGCGTCATTCTTGCTCGCGGACTTTACCTAATGGGCGCGCAGGTCTTCGGGTTACCTTCGAAAGTCATACGAATATTTACTCATAGGCACTTCGCCGTCACCCTTACGAAATGAAGGCTCCGATGGGGTGGACAACTTGTAAAATGCACAGGATGAAAGTCCTGTCGAAATTCCCACCATTCATGCTGTATCATCGTGTTCGCTTCATAGCTTGAGCACGGGCTGTGCAACCAGGCGCCCAAATCTTATATGCGCAGTTTCTTCATCTCCGTTGAACTGTCGGCATTGTCTGGTAGTTGGACACATCCATCACATATCGATGCCTACCCTACAACAAACTAGGAGCGATATAGATGAAAAGACTGACTTCGAAATTGTAATTTATGGACATGAGAAGGCAAGTACGCACAGCAGGCACTGGTTACCGCCACCGTGCTTATCCAAAACATCGATGCGACAATTGCGTGATGCATGATGCATGATGAATTTAGCCTGGTGTGATTTGCATCGGTTTCAAATTCATCAGTAGGCCTAGGTAGGCCCCTGTTATATCTTTCCATCCTTGTAACCTTATGTGTTATAGCTCCATGGGTCGAGGCAGAAGAGCCAAGAGCTGATCGATCACTGCTGTCATGCTCCACACTGGAGTTCCCAGACCCAGTCAGGGAGGCCGATTCGATAAGGATAATGTGACCATCAACTATGGAATGAGCGCCCACAATACGATCGAAAGTTAGGCTCCCTGCGGTAGTAGCAGCGCGTTTGAATCTCATATATCCTGATTGGTGCTGTCTCACTTCTCCTCTTATCTAGCGATGGGCGCCATGTATTCATTGAGTGTCAAGGGTTGGAACGTTTTTGGTTGCGGTAATTGATGTGTCACCGTGGCATCAACTTCACAGAACGTTTAAGCTAAGCGCAGTGCATCTTTTGCGTAGGCTGCCACGGATGGACATATAATTATACATTCACCAAGTTCGCCGCTTATCTGCATCCGTCCTCTAACAGTCTGACTTGATCTCAACTGATCCCAGTTGGCGGCCGTTCATCAATGCCTATCGCACTAGCGGCTATTTTGTAGGTTCGTAGAGATCAGTCGGATGATACCGGTAACGTCCTGATCTAACCTTAGCTGCACTTTCATGATTTCATATCTGATCTTGTGTATTTGGGGGGGCTGACTCCCGGTCACTTATCGTGTGTATGTCCCCATACTCAGCGGAAGTGTCTCCTGAACTCCCTAGGGGTGGCACCGATAAACACATTGGAATGGTATGTACGCCCCATGAACTCAGGACTTATGTTCAATAAATACCCACTGCAACGAGTTAAGTAAGGATCATCTTGGCGATGCTAACGTCTTCTAGAGAACAATGTACGTGCATAATTCGCTAAAAGCATCGACCGAGGTCACGACATAGGAGCGAATACCACAAGACTTACTGCGACGAATCAAGGAAAAATCGCCTGGGCACGCAGTGGGGTTTATCTATGTGAAGAGACTCTAATCTAGGCTCGGGACGAGCCTGGCTTGTATTACCACTGACAAGACGAGTGGCATACTAGCTACGTCAACATTACCGCTCCACCATTAAGCAAATGCAGTTTACATTCAGCCATCTACTGTTATTGACCTGAACAGATGTGTCTAAGAAGAGTATATTTGCGCGAGAACGCGTGCCCGCACTTGCGGGTATGTACAATCCTTGTATGCTTTCCCTCTATATGTTCAACGAGTGAATCTTTGTTTATTTCCCGATCACAATGTTTCCATTTGCACTTGACGCGTGTCGTGTGTGGGACATGTTTTTTGTGAATCACGCGTAAATGAGCGGCCAGATCGTGGCCACGAATCAAGACGTCGCAATTCGTCCCATCTGCACATTCCCACATACACTGGAACATCTCATCGAGCGAATGCTGAAAGCGCTGACTCTCAGACGCAGCGACGTCCGGTGAGAAGATTGAGAACTTACATCCAGTGCCAGTGCAGTAGAATCAGATACCCCATTGCTCAAGTAGTTCTCAAATCGCATCGACATAGTAGTAGTACGTATTCAATGCTCCCCGGAGTATTTTGGAGGGAGCGCTGACTCTAGCGCTCAAGAGAGAAGAGGCAGGACAGCCATACCCGTATCGGTCCGCATTGGCAGCCTACCTAAATATACCAGCCAGCTATGCATGGGCAGCACTATTCTTACTACTGAACATGCACGTGCACCTCTCAAAGGTTCGCAACTTCCTGTACAGCACTCCAAGTTCCGCTTGCCAATCAGTCCAGGAACTTCTGTCAAAGAA